TGTTATTGTCTAACTTTGGGCGGATTTGAGGATTCTCTTATTTTATTTTATTTTATTTTCCCATTTTTGTTTGGATGAATCATGAAGGCCAAAGCCCTTATTTGCACCCTCCATTTATTTCTTTTTTGTGGTCAATACCTTCCAAAATTTTTCATCCTTATTCACACCCTCCAATTTTCAAAACCCGTAAAAAAACCCAATATTTTAACTTGCCGTTACGGAACCGTTAATAACCGTTAAAAATTGTAATAGGTGGCATCAAACAGTAATATAATTGTTATGTCATCGTTATATCATCTTATTACTCCAATGTAAACATTTTTTTTATGACATGGCATAATTAAATAATAATTTATTTTAATTTTTTCATTTTCTTTTTTCCCGACATCATCTGTATCATCTTCCTCTTCATCCTCCTGGGTTCCTGGAATTAGGAACCAAGACGTTATGTCAAATTTATAAATCCATGTGGATTTTTTTTTTATAATGCATTATAATTAAATTATAATTAATTTTAATTTCTTCATTTTTTTTCATTCTTGGCATCATCTTCCCCATCCTCGTCCTTGTCCTCCTGAGTTCCTCACGGAACCCGGGTTCTGAGTTCCTCGTGCAACCAATTTCACATGAATACCTACTAAGCTAAGATTTTCATCCACACAATTATAAGTAAATGAATACTGCACAAAAACAAATATGCATCTTCTACCACTTTCCCACAAAAAATGAAAAAACCGTTATTGCCATTCATGTTAATCCTACTTGAACTCAAATTGGCAATTGGCAACTTGTTCAAAAACAATCTCCAAGCTCCAAGCAAAAAAACTCACCTTTCCAACAAAAAAATTATTCCAAATTGTTTTGCATAAAATAGAAAACTAAGATAAATATATTCAAAATAAAAAAAATGGTCGGAAAACCCAGATCTGGGTTCCTTGTCGGAACCCAGAACTGGGTTCCTGCGTGGAACCCAATTCTGGGTTCCTGCGAGGAACCCAGCCGCATCATAAACCAAAAAAAAATAAAAAAAAAGGTCCAGGTGATATATTTATATTGCTGTTTGGTACCACAAGTAATATAATTTTTTATTGATTTTACTGTACACGTGGCATCCACGTGTGCAAAAAATAAGCCACATCATCAACAAAAAAGATCTATATTGGATTACTACTACCACGTAATGTCACGTTAATTTTTGGGTGCCACGTAATGCATTTTTAACGGTTCCGTAACGGCAAGTTAAAATATTGGGTTTTTTACGGGTTTTGAAAAGTGGAGGGTGTGAATAGGGAGGAAAAATTTTGGAAGGTGTTGACCACGAAAAAGAAATAAATGGAGGGTGTAAATACGGGCTTTGGCCAATCATGAATGTGGCCAGCTTCTTGGACCTAAGGAGAAAATTTGTGCAGTAAATCACCCAAGACACGCGGTCCTACTTTCCAACAGCCGGACGAGCTCCCGTCTTGGTGGGTCCTTCTTTTTTGTTAGTTTTTGTGTCTT